TCATCGTAGAGATGAGTTGCAGTGTCACATATCATCGACCGATGATATACCCTTCTTTACAACAAATTCCCGTCAGGCTCATGTTGACTATCAGTTTCAGAACCTAAAAACTAAATTAAACCAATGAATCCTCCAGTTGCAACAAGGAATAAAGCCTATTTATAGCATACTGCACTTGCCACACAATCATTGTATTGCTAAATATGGTTGTACATTACCAGATAAGCCCCTAGGCGAGGGTTTTGCATTACATAACTGACAAAACTGAAACTTAATTGGAACTTAAGGAATGCCCATCCTCTTGTTTGTTTAATAGTTCTGTCATTTGAGGCTTGGTGAAATGCTGTTTCTCCCTGGAGAAACAATCCCTCTTGTTCATCGTGATGAACGAACAACGGTGTGGCTGTTCGTTTGGCCGGGTCGAATTATTCTCTTTACAAATAAACAATCTAATCATTTTTGCCATTGGACATTTTGGATCACTAATCAGTTACTTGTCAAATATAATGATCATGTTTTTGTCTGTATCACGTTCCGTATTCGGCGTGAACGGGATAACTCGCAGCCTGGGACAGTCCTGTACGGATCTAGTACTCTGCGTGACTCCCCAGGGAATAAAAAGAAATGTGCCATAATTAGATGACGTTTAACTCGACAGAATTAGTTTAATACGAACAACATCTGCAAGAAACCAATGTTTTCTTGCAAAATCCCTCAGAAAACAAGCCTTTACAAATCAGTTGTTTACAATACAGTCACCATAGTCCTTGGGATAGCAGTGTGGCAAAATTGAAACCATGCAAGTTGGACAGCTCAGGCCCATGGACTCTGTGTGACCATAATTTACGTGTGTAGCGATTTTAATCCATAAAACATTTACTTGTGGTTGCATGTAAAATATGCCCAGTGGGTGACCCCATCATAGTTCTCCAAGCTCGTCGCCCTTTCCTTCCTTGACCAAACAACTTGTAGTCAATCTTCCAACAAATCAGTTCTACCCAGGTACGTCCGTCTGCAAAACTTGATGTCTGGGTTTTATCTTTAACGGACGCGCCTCGCGCAGCGCTCAGGAAACCTGCTCATTATGGACAAGTAGAGCTGCGTCCTTATCTGTTAGAAATCTCCCACCTTAAAAGAGGTCGCGCTGGATTCTGGTCTGTATTCCTACACATCAAACTGAGAAGAAATTATGGTTTCAGGAAATATACTCTGCCTCAACCTGGGGAGCATGGGCCAGACGGGCCCAAAAGGACTGTCGACAGGAAATAGTTCAAGACATCAGAAGTTCCCGAGCTTTAGCAGGGGAGACGCCCACAGTCTCCGTGGTGTATCCACAAGGGATCTCGAGGCTTAGGTGGTTCTGGAACAACGTAGCTCCCCAAAGAACCCTTATCGACTCCTTTCACGCACCTGCAAGGGGCCCGACCACCTAAACCCAATTTCCTCTCGGTGGAAAATCCTCCAGCGGAACAGTTTAGCAGGCAAGATTTACCATCCCCCCCCGAGTTCATGCAGGTGGTCAGCTTAGGAGTTCATCCAGGCAGGGCCCACTGGGATTTCCTCATGAACACAGCTTTGGCGGATTTAGAGATTTTGGGATGGGCAAGTCATAGGTTGGCGGCGACGAGAGGCGACCGGACTCGCAGAAGGGTACTCGCTGTCCCCAGCGATGTCTTGTGCCGATCAGAGGAGGCAGCTGAGCACGGCACTAACTTCGTCAGCTGGGAATTATCAATGGAAACGCATTCAGTCCTGGATCGTCTTCTACAGCCATGCCCGTGCAAAACCATCTATAATCTATATGGATGAAATCACAAATTGCAAGAAATACATGTATGTCAAATATAAAGAACATGTCATCCGACAGCTGAAATTGGCTGAATATTTTTGTTATGCACATACATGTATTTAATATTCAAATTAAGTAGTCAAACTTTTAAATCGCACAAATTTTTCACCATTTCTGATAAACTTTAACACTAACAAAATAAAAGCCCCCCCCCCAAAAAAAAACAAAGGTTTGTTCCGAAAGGGGAAATTGGTTGTATTAAAATATGATAGGTGCATGGTGATACTTTATATCAGCTTACTTACTGCAAACTGATGCCAGTTGCACATGTTCCTGAATGATCCTTATGATAGACATGCCGTTCGCCACTATAGGCCTATACAACGAATCTGTTACACGTACATGTACCTGCCAAAAAATCAGTTCGCAAAACACTTCCTGTTGAGCAGGAAAAGACACATAAATATGATAAGAAATCATATTTATTGAGTAACTGACTGGGCATATGTTGATAGTTATGCGTGGGAGAGTATCTTTTCCCCTCATCCAAATCAGCACCAAATTTAATCTTGAATTGTGCATTTTTGTACCTGTATCTGACGTTTTGCAATGGTGATCGTGACAAGAGCGAGTTAATGATCAGTATATGTTAGTCGACGAATTTGGCCTTGTGACTGGAAGTGAATCAGGAATGGCCTGAGCAATGGCGGAAGCAGTGTTAAAGTAGTAAAAAAAAATGCTCAGAAAAAGTCCAGGGCCAGTTACTTTATTATTATATACCGGAGCCTTTTCGACATAAAACGGTCAACTGCTCGAATTAAGTTCACACGTGTGGGCACCATTGGTGTTGGCACGTAGGAGGTTTTCCGGGGAGGAGGAAAAGCACTCCGGGTCAGAAGCAAACTGACAAGCCATCAAGGAAGGGGGATAATGGAATTCTAAGGAAGTTTTAAGCAAATCAGCGATTTTCACCCCCCCTTTCTTCTTTACTTTTCTCTTTTATTCCCTTATATTTTTGAATGCATGGGGGAGAGGGGATTATAGGAGACAACCACCAGCCCCGCTACGCCCTTGGTATACGGACTGAGAGCACCAGTTCGTTTTGCCCTCGGATAGAAATTAAAGATGTCACGAATGGTGATGATCATGATCATGCAATCAGTCGTCTTGGCTGCAAGCTTGTCCTCCGAATAACCCCTTTTGCAGCAATGGGCCTCCATAAATTAATCTGTATGCAATGAAAGAAGACAAAACAGAGAGAACATTGCATAAAAACATTACACCTTTTTCACGGTACATACTACGGCGGTTTGTGTCGTGTTTTTCTGACTTTCGTGATTATATTTTGAGGGTCACAGTGAAAAATGACTGTTTTCTGCTATTGTACGATTACAAGCTGAATATTTGTATGGCTTTATATTTGTTAATGTGAATTAGTTGTAGTCGGATATTTAATGAGTCACCCTATAAAACCACTCTGGATATGGATCACTTGTATTTTGTCCATTCGAACGGCCCCTCTATGCTGTACAGAAAGATCATGGTCCTGATGTAGATTTTTTTGAGCCAATCCGCAGTATAAATATGGGTTACCTTTTTTTTGTTGAGGATTTTTGTTGACCACTCAGCCGTTTTTAAAGAATTCTTGACAGCTTAAAAAAACAAGCGGTCAAGTCATATGAAACTGGACAATGGTGTCTTTTAGCCATGAGCGCGTAGATTTACACATGTATCATGCATTACACACTATGGATCATCGTCGAAATTATCATAAAACCGCCAGGCTTATTAATAACACAAAAAGTAGGGTATGACGTCATCACACCATAGGCTTATGTATAATGGATCCATACGACTTATCTACATGTATCTATCTTTCACAGATGAGGGTTGGACCATGGACAAGCAAAGGTACGCCGACTACAGGAATTATGACTACGAAGGCGCCCACATGATGCACGCGTAATTTGGATGTTTCACAACGATGTCAGTGTCATTGATTATGCAGTTTCATCGTAAAATGTCATATTTTGCTGCTTCATATTTTATGCATCTCCTAAATCTTGCACGGTGTTTTGCACATTATCATGAGTGGAAACGTAAATGAAAACACTGCTAAAGTCCCCACCGTCATTCAATGCGACATTTCCTCTCTACTCCCCAGAGGAAGTGGTATGTATCACATGCGGACTGCATTGCATGACGTCATAGACACCAACCTAATTTCTGCCTGTGTGAATTAGGGGAATACACAGTAAATTCATCAGTTACAGTGGCGCATAGATGTCACTTTCTCCAGCCCATTTCCACCTTTATGCTTTCCCGGTGATAGTGGTTCCTCAGCTTCATGATTTAATTTTGGAAAAAAGACTTGGTGGTTACACGTGCTACACGTCGAAGTTTCTGTGCCCTAAAAGCTTTCTTCCGCTATGCTGATGGAACCCGAAGGTAATGACCTTAACCAAGACTGTTGATGAACAAGAGGAACAGTCTTAAATGTATGCACTCTAAAAAATCCCTGGTCAGATTGACCCAGAATTGGGTCCCATTCGGCACGACCCTTTTCCGGGTCAAATTATGACACAGAAAGGATCAAATATGACCGGGAAAGGGGGTCATATTGTGACCCAGAAAAGGGTCATATCGAAAGGGACCCAATGCTGGGTCAATCTCACCAGGGAGTTTTAGAGTGTGGCATCAACAATTTATAGATTAAACCGTTCAAAATTTTCAATTCTTTGGCACCAACAAACGCATTTACTTGCTGCGTTTTAGTGTTTCCTTGCATTCTCGGCCGAGTTGTAAGGAAACTGGTATTAAATATATCAATGTCTACTTCGGGCTTTCTGAGGATCCCAACCTTGGTCAATACGCGACCCCCACCGTTGTCAGGTCATTTCACGAATTATTGCGATTTATTTTTCGAATGAAACCCATACATTTCGTCTTAAAACGACGTTCCCTGTCCTGCTCGTGACGTCCAGTCATCGCAAATAACCCACAACTTTATTGATAAACCATCTGCCCCCTCGAATCGTACGGCTTGCTCACCTGACCTCATATTTACCATGCCATCCCCCCCCCACCGGTTGCTGAGCCCACAAATTTTGTTATTTTCGTCAGCGTGCCAATAATTAAGGAAATGGGGATGACCCACATACCCACGGCTAAAATGAAGCACGCACATTAATAATGTTAATACTACAAACAATAACAGTTCATTTTTTTTCATTTGATGATCTGATCTTTTTCTCTTGCCACAAGCATGATATACAAAATAACTACATGTTTATGAATCCCATGTTATGAAAACCATTTGTGATGAATTAATCCTACTGAAAGGGAAAAAAAAATTGTTCCACTCGATAAATGATTTATACTTGGGAGGTTATATTTTTCTTGGGTAAAAACCACTTACACAACCAAGAAAAAACAACACGGTTATCGACCGATGCCACTGGTTTCCTGCTTAGCATCCGCTACAGCAGTCGCATAACATCCGCAATGTGTCATCAGCGATGAACTGGTACCAGTTACCCTCTATCTATTGTTTGGTGGTCTGTTGACGTGACATTAATGAAGTACATGTTTTGTATCCAAAAATCGCAAAGAGAGATTCAACACTTCTCGAGAAAGGGCTCTTGTAAGATCAGACATTCCACTTCAAAAATATACGCAGTTCTGCCTGCGATTCTGGAAAAAAATGTCGTTTAGTGTAAATTTTATTGTTGGAAGTGGGTATTGAGTTCTACATGTAAAGACCTGTTTTGACAATGCACACTTCAAATACATCTAGATACTTGTCGAGGACCAAACGTGCATTCTTTGTATGCGTGCACAACTATAGGATGAAATTGAATTTTTAAAATATTAACGAAAAGGGAAGACATTTTTAAAGCTTCGAACTGCTGTTTTAACAGCTTTAAAAGATCCGTTTTTCCAAAACGACGAATTTGTGTTAACTTCGGATGGTTTGAAATGGATGGGATGAAATAAAAATGTGAAAATTACTGAACGAATGAAACTCAATATAGAAACTGCACAATGGTTAATGACATTTCTTTTTTGTGCAGGCGAAGTAACCAACATAACTATGTCTTCAGAAGCATGAAGCTGCCAACAAGTTTCGAATAGTTTAATAACAGCCATCGCCTTGGCCAAACTGGTAATTCTGTTCATGCAGGTACCACTTTCCTCCCGCGAAGAATTGAAAGCATGGGAGAAAAGCAAAATCTCTTTTAGAGTTCTTTGGAATGACGAAAAGGTTATTGCACTTCCTCTTTCCACAACGACCAATAGCAGCGCGTTGTTAAATTTACTTAAGTGGTTTAAAAAACTAGAGTTCTTAAGCTTTCTGCAGTATAAAAAGCCTGCTTCCAAAAGCACGTATATAGTTCGTGCGTGCGGATCGTGGGCACACGTCAGTGCTAACCACTTCTGGAGCTGAGACAAATCCAGTTCTCATTAAGCGGGGTCGCCATGTTTATGTCTTGTTTGCCCTTCGTATAATTAATGGTTTCCCGCTGTCGGTGTATGAGCGAGTGACGCACCATCAGAGTTCAATGTCAAGTTGCATTGCATAGGGTCTCTGTGGATTTAAGTCTGTGGGATCGCATTTCGCGATCGTTCCAAAGATGAGTTTATCGTAGTTGAAGACACTGTCACTTTCAGTACAAAAACGACGTAGAGGTTATCATAACACGAGTCTTTTGCCAAGGTGGCGAGGGTTGCCGCCGCTTGAGTTCTCAGGTTCTCAGTTCTACAGAGCTGTTTCGAGCGGTGGCGGCGCGGGGTGAGGCGAAGCCGTGCGTCTCTTGATCTGACGGGCACACTGCGCGGGAATGGACGAGGAAATCGTCTTCTCGTACGCCGCCAGCTGACCTACAAAGTTGAGGTTCGGGTTGATGATGGCTCGCCGGGACTTGACCAGATTGTAAGCTTTGGCCATTGGCATGCCGCGGTACCTCATGATGTAGGCTATGGCGATCGTGGAGGATCTTGAGATGCCGGCGCTGCAGTGAATAAGGACTTTCTCGTGGCGTTTGCGAGCGGCCTCTGTTCCAAAGAAAAACCGAAGAGGCACAATGAAAAAAAATGAAAGACAAAACCCTTTTCTGCAAAATGAAACACCGTCATACAAATGATTCATTCAGTTAAACAGATGCACATCTATTTATATCTATCAACATCTAGAGTTCTAAAGAGATACGACCAATTTAGAAGTTTCAGTTTCTGATCATGCAATCCCGTTGTCTGCTTAACAGCTTACAAATTTTAGAGCTGGGCTTTCTCGTACCGGCATTTCTCCGAATATTTCCTCTCCATATGTCAACCTTCATAGTTCAACTGCACGTCCGTGATATACCTACCGATGAAGACGAAAGCCTCTTCGAAGTGCCTCTTGAGGTTGGCCAAGGAGTTGTCGCGCACGCTTATTCGCCTGTAATTGATGTTTGTGGTCTCCTGGTGGAAACAAGGCACCGACTGGGTCACATTCAGGACGTTGCCGATCCTTTCCTGCTGGAGGAAGTCCAGGTCGGCTGCGTCCTTCTCATTGCCCACGTACAGGAACGTCAGCAGCTGTGTGGCCGGGATGTCGATCTCTTTCTGTTTGGCCGTGGTGTAGTCCACGCCAGAGATAACCTCGGCCGCGGGCCGGCAGATTGTCGTTTCTGCCGTCGTGGGGGCCTTCTCGACGACGCTCTTGCACAAGCTCCCGAATTGGTTTTGAAAGTCCTTTAGACCTCCTGCAAATTATCGAATCAGTTTGAAAATGCAATTGTTTAATTTGATGTGACGTTTTAAACGGCGTTTTAAACGTCTTCTTAATCCAACTTATCCAAAAACAAAAAATAACGTGTTGTGTGTGATGTTTGGTCTATTAGCGAAAAATGACTCCATTGGGACTGAAGTACAGAGTAGTAATGGGGGAAACTTTTTAAGGAAGAAAAAAACTTCAGCTTGTAAAGCTAAGGTGCACTCGATAACCCCCATGTTCGTGTCTGTATCTATGATCAATCATTTCTCACAAACTAAATATTGCGGCGGGCCCTCGGCCTCACACAGTTCGCCTGTTCCTTATATCCCCCATGCACCATTCAACGTGTTATTCAGCCTATGGACTTTGCCATCGGTAAACAGTATTCAAGATGTCGACGGCACTAGACAACTGGGATTGTTTGCACGCTACGCGCACAGCAGTTCTTTTTGGGGAAAAGCAATCATGGGCGACAAAGCTTGGTCAGCCAGGGGAACGTTCAGACGTCAATGCAGTCACTCGTGTGTTCGAAAGAGCCAGGCTAGGTTGTGGATCTATTTTATCAGCGATAGCACAACAGTTGTATAAATAGGTTTTATCCTGTGTTGTTTGAGCTGAAGTAAAACTGGGTTTACTTTGCTTTAATAGAAGAGAAAAGTTTATTGCTTATTTTCTGAAGTCAGCTCGTAATATTTTTAATGGTACAGCCATTACTTTATGAAATAGGATTACACTTTTAGAAGACTTCATTTAGAGCGTGAAGAGTTTGCATTTACTTCACAGAAAATTTACGTACATAGATATTTCACTTAAAATCTTCAAGATTTCAACTTTAGGACAATATAAGTTTACGGTTTATTTCATCACATCTCGAGGATGATTGGAAAACATATAAATACTGCACTGTACATGTATTTACCTTTTAGAAGGCTAGCCCTCGTTCCTTCATTGCGGAGTGAGTTGAGAACCAGGAGTGTTGAATGGTTTGACGGTAGGTCGTCAATTACTTGAGTGTCCTCGTCGTAAACCACCACGTCCTTATCCGATCGGGAACACAGAGCCTCCCTGCCTTCGTCAGAGGTAGCCAGATCGTTGATTGATAGCTTGCCCTGCTGCAATCGCCGCTTGGTGAAGCAGTTGGTGCAGTTCACGTTCACTGCCCCCTCGATGTGTTTCTTGTTATAGGCCAGGAAAGATCGGCAATCGACGACAATTGTGGTGGGACAGTTGCTGTCCAGCCGCTTGGACAACTCCCCAGGAGTCACTGTGCCGACTCTCGGGCTGTCCTTAGCCTCATTGGAGGTGGTAATCTGCCTCTTGATCGGGCAACTGTTCTTGCTTGATTTCCCCCTGCATGGCGGTAGGCCGAGGGTGAACACCGCGTGTGCCATAATGGCGCTTGAGTCCTGCCGAGCGGCAGGATCTACTCGAGCTGCTGGTGGGCCATCTTTGCCGGTTTTAGCGTGTGCCTCTCTGCCTGTTGCTGAGGTGAAATCGTGAGAAATCTCTGGAGGCATGGATACTTTCTGCTTTCTTAACGCTAGTGTATGCCCACTCAGACTATTCAGTGGGCTGCCGCTGAAATTTGTCGACGGAGCTTGGCCGATTCCCGCGTTCGTGAGGTTGAACTGCCGTTGATTTAGTAGTGTGTACCTTTGGTTTGGCCGGCGTAATGTACCTGGATGAATGAAACGATCCTTGAAACGAAGGAGTGTGGAATATACCAATTTACCTTGGATAGAACGCTTGTTTTCCCTTCTCAAGAATGAGTAGACACGATTCCCTAAAACAGCGCTGGCCGGCGGCACAAGGTAGAAATTTCTGGTACAAAACAGCGCTGAGCGCACAACAGCTAACACTACAGGACAGGACAATAGCTCTCCGTTGGCCGGCGGACTCGTATTTATTACACTGCGAATTGTCATTGGCTATCCAAGGCCATGACATCATTCTTGTTGCTATTTCAGGCGCACTCATGAATGATTTATTATCTCTTGCCACGGTCCGTTGCGCATGTGCGGGTAAAAAAGATAATTCGCTGGTGTTCAAATGTTCCCGTCCACGTTATTCCAGCAAAGGTAAGGCAGGGCAACCAATGAATAAAGCTTTGGATAATAAAAGCCGTCGCGACTTCTTTATTTGTCATCTGTCCATAATCTATGCCATGTGATTAGAATTAACCAATCAGCGGGCATGCCTCTTAGTCTTACCTCCAAGGCCCACTGACATTGTATAACATTGTATAACTATAAGCGCACAATAACCTATACAGTCATCGCTAGTAAGATTCTTGGTAAGAATTAGTAGGCGTTGTTAATTGCACTATGATTGCACAAATTTTGCCAAGGAAGCGGTTTACGCAATGTTTAAACATCGAGAAAGTCAAAATGACGAATACTTAGTGAAACTATGTCCAGTAACCAAGTCAATGTAGAATTCCTTCCAGCAGATCCCCATTTAAATCTGACGAACAGATTGCATAATAGTTCATTTTACTCTGTAATCACACTTCACTTTTTCCAAAACGTCCCCCATCCAACTGTATGCGAAAAGATCCGTCTCTAGGATAATGGCGCAAGTGTATTCGACGTAACTGGGTTCAAGTTTCTCTCTTATGTTGCGTCCACATTAATTGTGTCTACGGTAGGAATGGCATTTCCCCAGTCAGAAGGCGGGCCCTTTGAGAAATGGGGATGGGAAGTTCACAGTTCTTCATCCATCCAGCAGATTGTGATCACAGTGTTCTTTGAATAACCGCAGTCTATCGTTCTCCAAGCATTAATTATGCATCTCTAATTTGCTTTTTCAAAGTAAAATCGTTTCATCTATTCACGTTTGGCATTGCGCACGGCCTAATATCGCTGACGTCATGGAATGACAGTGCTGAGGTGAAATTCTTCTGAAATGGAGACATTGCTGATCACCAAATATGTAATGTAACGTTTTTCATTTTTAGACATACTAAAGCAAATTTTACAAAAAGGCGCATTCTTTATCAACAAGTCTTTCACTTTTTTATTCTGTTAACATACAAATTTAATTGTGTGTTTTTAAGACCATAGTCATGTGGTACTTTTGGCAGCATCTAATTGTTATTGTTCGTCAGATTTTTATAAACCAATAAAGTTGTAAAACTAACAAAAATCTTTGTGCATTCGCCGTAACTTTAAGTACATTGATCGAAAGTCAGGCAGCTGTGTTTATCAAATATGTAGTTTGTTTCCTGGGCAACTTTGGACGGGCACCCAAATGGAACCATAAATAGTTGGTGTCCAGCGGTATACAGGAGACTGGGAACTATGTGTTCAAGGCTGCAAGGTATTGTTCACAGTCAAGTTTTACTTTCAATACAGCGATTGTGGTGCGCTCCGGTAAATCAAGCAGTTGGTGTTAGATTGTTCTGAAATCCTGTCATTGTCCAGGTTATTCAACCGTTATCGCAAAGTGCTCGTTGTAAATGACAGAATAAAAACTAGAACTGCGGGGGCCGTGGTTTGGTTGGTTGCTGGTTGCAACAAGTGTTTATGGTCCTAGATCTGATAGGAGCACACCCAGTGTGGGTGTCAGAAATTGCCCTATGATTGCGAGCCTTCAACATTACACAAACAGTATTCCGTGAATCTGAAATGTACAGTATATGTGTGTCGTCAACCAAGATAGGCATGGAGTGTTGTCGTGGTTTAAAAACCGATAGTACATGTAATTCATGAACCCCCCCCCCAAAAAAAAGCAGAAAAAACAGAAATAAACAAAAGGAAGAAAAAACCTCAAAATATGCAAACAAAAACCAAAAGTTGTTCGTGACCATGACAAACAAACACAGAAAATCTGCACTAATTCTACACATAGGGTAACTATGGTAACCCATGGAAATGAAGAAAGCTCCAACAGTGAACCATATGAACTGCGAGGAAAATAATGTAGGTTTAATCCCTCCGTTGACAAGTATTTTTAGAATTATGAATCCCCGCGTTTTGCCACCCACCCATTCAAAGGGATTAATTCTCACATGTCTGGAGAGAACCAAACAGTGGTCTGCATGGAGAGTATATAAACTCATTACTGTATTGGTTAAAAATAGAACATCAACTCACTGGTTTGAAAATTAATCAGGGGTCATGTTACGCACAACGTATCGTTCGCAGAAACTTGAAGGCAGCAGTGTCATTTTGCCTTGCGCATGTAAAGCAGTGTTATACAGTCATGTACATGTACATTGCACGGTTTCCTGATGGTTAAGAAGTCGACCAGTACGGACTCAGTCCTCTCATAAATTCCTGGAAAGAAACTCGGTGACATAATTACTGGTCATTTCTTTTCCTGTATATCGTGGAACAAATGAAACAAAGAGCCCTGATTTTCAGATTGTAAATACATCGACAAAGCCCTCATAAACATTATTATAATTATGATGCTGAACATTTTACAGGCCTATATAACACAACGAAATATGTTGAAACACAAGTATTTTCCCACGCTGAATTTATCCTCTGCCACAAAAGAGGACATTTTCTTTTCAACATTCGTTAAAAGATTTATACATTAAAGTGGGACTCATTGCAGGAACTTTCAGCCTTAACTTAAAACAGATCGTGTCCAATGATTCCAAGCAAAATAATAACTGTAAGCGTTTTCATTTTTATTCACCTTCGACTTTTGACCGAACACTGCGGGGCTTTCTGGTTGATTGCAGTCTATTAAAAAAGCCGGACCTATTGCTACATTTGTAGCAAATCATTTTTTTCTAATTGCAAAATACAGGCAAATAAAAAAAAATCACTCTCTGCGTGCACTCTGGATGATATTTTGCCAATTCCAAAAATAAAAAGAAATCCCTGTTTGTTGAAGAAACACCCAGCAGGCGAAGCTGCCGAATTTTTCCAGAAAGTTCCAATGAGCCTGCTTTAAAATGGAAACCAACCCGTCGTAGCACAAATGTACCCTGTCGTGACCTTCACAGGTAGACGATATCGATATACTTGTATTGTTCTTTTTTGTCAAACCTACGGACACATCAATATGCTACCGACATTCACTCAGATACTGCAACAAAAGCCAACGAGAAATATCGGTAAGTCATGACACCCCTCCTAAAAGCTGTTCCAGAAATATCTACTGAACAGTGTAAGTAAAATGTGTCGTTTTCAAGTTTTCGTCTTTTTTTATTGCTTTTATTTGATTTGGCACAGCAAATTAAGTTTACCCTCTTTCACTTCTCCGTATACAGAGAGGCGAAAGAGGCTCAAAGCCCTGTAGCTCATATTGAATAATAATTAAAAAAACAACCAGAATTACTGTTTATATTCAGGCTATCCCCATCTTTTCTGGTCTTTTGATATTACCATTTTTCATGACACGTCAGTAACTCTAAATTATTCGTGGTATTTCAACAACTTACTTTTGCTGACGTGTTACTCCTTGTTCGAACAATATCTACAAGAGGGGCTGGAAATAAGACTATTAAACGGCGTCAGCATGAGCCGACTTCCTACTACAGTGGCAATGAAACTCAGGTAGTCTTTACTTGAAGTTTCATTGAAATAATATTATTTAGGCCAATGAAATGTTGAAAACAACACAAGATCACTTCAAATCTCGACAATCAATGAAATAACAGCTGAATCTACTGAGCAGTGTTGTGGTGGATTAAGTTTGTAAAAATCGGTAAAATCTGTGTGTACCGTAAGGTTCTTAATTCTTACAAGAAATCGCAATCAAATCCCCAACTATAATTTGACGACAGTGATACTGTTGGCCTATACCCCGATCTATTTTGGGGCGCGGAGCTAATTATTTGAGAGAGGTAGCTTTCACAAATTAAAAATGACTCGGAGCATAACGTAACGCGATGGGCCTGTTATTTTTTGTCCCGACAAGTAATCCCGGTATAAGGGATCGAGTCATCTGCAGGCTACGCTGTTAAACATTTTACATCTTACACCATGCATGCATCCTATATCCACTTAATATCTTAAACTCCATTTTATCCTGAATGCCAAGTTTCTACCACTCTCCCGGGTTTGGTTTTAATACGATAGTAAACTAAACTCCTTCAAACACGGAAACCCTCGAAGAGAAAATTGCTAAACCTGCCTTGGGCTTCAACTTAACAAATGCTAGTGATGATGGACTTGTACCTGTCGTCAGCGACCGTTTGTCTATAATTCACTTAGAATCTATGCGTACCACCAGCGAAACCCTCCGCATGGTCGAATATTAATTGTTTTTCATACCTCAAAAAGGTAAGACTGGGCCAGTTTTTGATGGTCTCTAGCCAGTACAGATAATTTGCTTGTTTCGTTAGTTTGTTCTTTCCACTGTTCATTTACAAGATATATTTTCTTGTGCAGGAATAAATTGGTCTTCTTTATTTCTTGCCTTGGACTGGCACAATTTATTTTACTTGATAATATTTCCCACTGTTTAAATCTGTTTTTGAATGTTACTGTAAATTTGGCTTGACAGCCTCTCAAGTCAGTGTTTAAGTATACCTGTACATTTGGCATTCCCGGCCAGCTTGGATTGGTTTATTCCGTTTCTGTTGAGTATGCTGTACTGTGTACTTTGTCGTTGAAAGGTCGAATATTAATAATTGACAAGAGTAATCGTTTTCTCTAACCATGTGAAAGGTTTCCTCAAACATTACCACATGTCAAATGCTTCAAGTTCTAGGCATGACACGAGTCATGACTGTCAGCGTGTGGTACAGTGGCAACCACAGAGTGTGGCGAGGCCAAGGACTTAAGGCCAAGCAGTGTCATGGCAAGGGTTAGCTTATTTACATAATTATAATTGTGACGGATCCTAACGTTATTGAGTCTGGCTTGTGGACATAGCACGTGATGAAACCACTGTAGAGGCATTGCATGGTGTGCATGGCAGCTTTGTTCCATAGCA